GCGCGCGGAAGCTTCCAAAGCTGAGCGCAGGGCGCGCCCATCCCCAGTCCTCTGGCCCCTGCTCCCTGGCGAGCCCTCGAGCACTTTCCAATAGGCTTCACGTCTCCTCTGGGACATGGGCGTGCCGCACAGCCCACCTCTAGGGCTGCAGCTAGGCGACCCCCTGGCAGCGTCTGCACGTGTGGAACCTGTTGCCGACCCCTTCCACCTGCCCAAGGGTCACGGCAGGCAGCGCGTGAGAACCAGGCCCCACACTCGCCCCAACGCTGGAACCACAGTCCCCAAACACGGACGTGACTGCGGGAAAAGGCCTTCCATAAACACCCCGTCCACATTCCCATACCCCAAACTGGCAAATATGTCACCTGGCGTGGCAGAAGGGACTCTGTAGATGGGATTCCATAAGGATCTCAAGACTCTAGGGCTGTCTGGATGAGGACAGTGCCACCCCAGGCCCTTCTGGGAGGGGTGTTAGAAGTGTCAGAAGCAAAGTGGGATGGACAGAGGAGGGGAAAGGGCAGATGGGCGCTGGGGAGGCCTGAGCTGCTGCCTTCCAAGCTGAAGGAGGGCTCCAGAGCCACCTTCCTCTGGAAGATGGAAAGGTTCTATTCATTTGTTTGTTTATTTGGTATTGGGGATTTGAACCCAGGGATGCTCTACAACTCAGCCACATCCTCAACCTTTTTTATTTTTTATTTTGAGACAAGGTCTCACTAAGTTGCTGAGGCTGGCCTGCCGCAGTCTGGCTGGGCACAAATAACCGAGCTGCCACAAAGCCTTGTAGGTTCCAACAGCAACTCTTCATTCCCGGACTCTCAGCGGCACTGTACACACACTTTCCGGAACACACTCCCTCCACCAGGCTCCACGTGCCAATTCTCACAGAACCCCTTGAAAACTCCACGGGAACTCCAAAGTAGCAGGAGCCCAAGGCAGCAATATCCGCCCTAATCCCAGCAGGATCCGCCCTAATCCCAGAGCTGCCCTAATCCCAGAGCAGGGTCACCTTTCAATCATTCCCTCTAGCAAAATGCCAAGTGTCATTCCAACTAAACTGTGGCTCTCAACACTGGTCTCCAATTTGTGATCCTCCTGCCTCAGCCTCCCGAGTCGCTGAGACCACATGCATACATCACCACACCTGGCTTGGAATCTGCAAAGGTGAGGAGACAGATTGCTCCTCCCTGGAGCCCCTAGAAGGGACATGGCCCTGCCAGTGCCTTGATCTTAGCCCCGTGAGACTTATTTCTGACCCCCAGAATTCAGGACAATACTTGGTGTGGTTTTCAGCCTGGTGACTTGTTATGGCAGCCATGTGAGTTGCATGTCACCCTGTCTTTGTCAGAACCTAGTTTTCTAGGAGACTCTTTCCTGAAAAGCCTTCAGCTCCTCATTAGGAAGCATGGACAGTCGGTGACTAGGATTCTCTGAGTCCCTCACCTGCTGGTCCCGCTCCCTCCCCGGGACCTAGGCAAGGGCCTTCTCCAGGTTCCCGCTCGTCACTTTGCCGACACTTTAGGAGGTGCCCAGGGAAGAAGGAAAGAGAAAAATCAGTGTCTCATGCTGCTCCACTCTCCCTCCCAAGCCAGTCCTTGAGGACAGCACTGGCCAGCTGGACAGCAGGACCAGTCTGCCCTGGGCCCTAAAGCAGCAGAGAGCAAGGGAATGGCCGGCCTGAGCCAAGCTCAGCTGGCACCAGATCCCAGAGCCAGCCCTTTGCCGCAGCTGTGTGGTCTCGGGCGAGCAGATTCCCTCTCTGATCTGGTTCTCTGGGTTGTAAAACGCAGGTGAATGTCAGTTATTTCCCACCAACATTTTGGAAGTTCAAAGGAATCGTCTACCCAGCCTCATTAGTAAGTACCAGGCACACAGTAGATCCTGCTTCATCCTGAGCCTCTGAGCCTCCATTTCCTCCTCAAACTAGGGACACTAGTCCCTGGCCGGCCAGCTTGTCAGGAGGAGGACTGTTGGAAAGCCCGTCCTGCGGCTGGGGGTGGGGTGCTCCTCGCCTGCTCACCAGGTGCCAAGGGTTTCTTTATCGGGACAAAAGATGCACTTGGTAAACTGAAAGCCCAAAGCATGAATTGCCAGGCCAGGCTGTCCCACCCACTAGATAAAGGGGAGGTCACCTTCAGGGACAGGACAAGGCAAGCAGGGGATGTCCTGACACTCAGTTCATTCCTGGCTGCATGTCACAGGGGTCATGTGAGCGTTCCTTGTCCCTGTTTTCTTCTGAGAACAGAGGGTGCCTGCCTTTCTTGGGCCCAGCAAGGGGGGGTGGGCTGCTGAGGGTGGCCATCTCCTCGTCTGAAAGCTTATTTGGTGGGGCACAGTGTCGCACACCTACATTCCCAGCGGCTGTGGAGGCTGAGGCAGGAGGATGGCACATTTGAGGCGAACCTCAGCAAGACCCTGTCTCAAAATAAACAATAAGAAGCTCTGGCGTCCGGGCTCGGTGGCGCACACCGTAACCCCACTGGCCCAGGGGGCTGAGGCAGGAGGATCGTGAGTTCACAGCCAGCCTCAGCAACTTAGTGAGGCCCTAAGCAACTCAGCGAGACCCTGTCTCCAAATAAAAAATGAAAAGGGCTGGGGATGTGGCTCAGTGGTACAACTGGGTTCAATCCCCAGAACCAAAAAAAAAAAAAAAAAATGGCTCAGTTTTAGGGGCAGGGTGCAGCTCAAGGGTAGCGTACACACAGGCCCTGGGTTCCATCCTCAGCATCACACAAAAGAAAAATAAATAAAGAATAAAGAGCTCGATTGTGAGGCTACCTGGAGCCCAAAGCAAGAGGGATTTTTCAGGGAAATTCTCCTGACTGCGGGCTGTGACTCTGGGTAGACAAGCTTCCTGTCCTCTGCTGAATGACTGGCAAGCAGGGGCCTGGCAGGGAGGACAACCCTCCTCTGATCTCTGGCCAGGGATTGCAGTCAATGGAAGCAGCTCCCGGGTTTTGTGTTCTGGGAGGCGGTGGTGACGTGAGGGAGAGGTTGCTTCTCTCAGTTTCGCTTTCTCTGCTTTTAGGAGCTGGGAGACGGAGGCAGGGCAGTGAGGGGAGAGAAGCTTCTGGAACCACTTCAGATGCTGGTGACGCAGGGGGACACGAACATACAATCCCCCCGCCGTGTTTTCAGCTTGGCGCTGGGCGGCATTTTCTTCTGAAGCCACGGGAAGTTCTCCCCGTCAGGATCCTGCAGCCCTAAGCAAAGAAGGGTCCTTGTGTGGAAGGGGCCCAGCTCCCTGGGGGGCATTTCCTGAGGATCAGACGAGGGCTGAGCTGAGCCTCGGGGACACCAGAGGAGGAAGCCGCCACGCCTCCGGCCTCGGCCGCTGGCTCCTGATCTCTGGGCTGCCCAGTGATGAGAAAGAGAAACTGACAGTGTGACCTGTGCTGGAGTGGACCCTGCCAACAGCTCAGAGGGCGCTTCCCCAGCGGCTCAGCCCTCCTGGGTGGAGGCCCCCAGGAGCGGCCCTGGACGCCCTCAAGATGAAGGACTCGGGGAAGGGCCCGTGCTCCGTGGGTCGGCTCCGCTCTCTCTTCCCTTCTTCTGTGAGAAAGTAGCCTCCTCAAGGAACTGTGGGCATTCTGGTGGGTTTCCAAACAGTGACCCCTCAGAAGGGCCTCCATGAACGGGTGGCCGTGGGACCCAGGCCCCTCAATCCCTGCCTGGCCACAGGGGCTGGTCCAAGAAGGGCCAGTGCAGGCCCTGCGGGAGGTCTCTGCGGACATGGGTGGACAGGCCCTGGGCCCTGGAGCGGGCTGTGAATGGCTGTGGTCTGAAGGGAACCTGTGTCCAGGAGAAGAGGAGGCCCCGGCCTCTGACTCACCCAGGCCCAGAAGTCTAGGACTTTCCTTTTTTGCTTAAAAATAAATAAATAAGTAAAATCAGTCAAATTACATCCGATTTCCCCCCCCCCACTTTGCCATGGCTCCAGCTCGGGCAGTCCCAGTCCAAGTCTGGCCCTGGCCACGGGCCCATCCCATCTGGTCTCCGTTTTCTCTCTGCAGGCCTCCTCCACTGTCTCCCGGCCACACTGTCCTCTCAAGAAGGCCACAGTCCTGCCTCTGGGCCTTGGCTCCCTCCCATGGATCCCTGTGCCTGGCCTTCTGTTCCCCAGGGACCCTCTGGGCCGACCCCTGATCTCCTTCAAGTCTTTCCTTCAACCTGACCTGGTCCCGGGGCTCTGGTCACCTGATCAGTTCTGCAGGAGGCCCTGGGGCCTTTCCTGCCCTGGATTTGCTGGATTTCCATAGCTCTCAGCTCCAAGGCCAAGGCTTGAATTCTCTGGACCCTCCCTGCCCACCAGCTGCTTAGGGCAGGGTCCAGGTTCACTGATGAACCAGCAAGGACCAGGACCAAGCTGACCGGTGGCCACAGCTGAAGAAGCTGATTTGGTTTGGATTCCTGTCCCTCAGAACCAAAAGAACCCAGACTGAGATAGAGACGCTTCCACTTTTCTCCTAGGAGACTGGCTCTGCCTACTTCCCGGAATGCCTGCGGGGCCTGGCTGCACCTCTGCCGGGGAGAGGCCCATGTGTCTCCAGTGGGCAGGGTGACGATCAGGCTGGCACGGGAGCTGGATAACGGGGGCCTGGCCCCAGAAAACCTGCCCTTGGGATCCTTCAGTTAGGAATGAAAGCTGAGGTGCCCTGTGACAGCGCCAACACCCAGCTGTGCAGAATCAGAGGCCGACGCCCG